GGCCTCCGGCCACCTGCACTCACCAGACGAAACGCAGAAGCAGAGCCTCTACTTCACGCCGGTATTCTGTGAGGTCGTGGTACCAACCCGGCTCGAGCCGGCCCATACGTGCAACAGCAAAAAACTGCTGCAGGGCTCTACCACCGTTAAAAAGCCGCGAACGCCCATATTTTGATAGGTCGATCTGATCGGGTCCATAGTTTAGCGAAGCGGCTCGAGCAGGTTGAGGCCCGAAGGGCCGTAGTGGAGGAGGCTTACACTGAGCTTGTGGCCCCGGATGCGGAACAGGGAGTCCTAGACTCCTGCCTCGCGGACTACGAGAAATTTTTTTCGTTCACGGACGACTTGGTGGAGGAGGGGGCCAAGTATGCTAATGACGCGCGTGAAGCTAGGCTGAGGGGCCTGTCCGAGTCTCCTCAGAAGCAGCCTACTCAGCCGAAGCTGTTGGAATGACTCCCAACTCTGGACCTGCCAAGGTTTTCCGGGGCCCTCTCCAACTGGCTGACATTTGTGGGCCTTTTTGAGAGCCTAGTAGACGCCCGAAGGGACTTGACACTAAGCCAGAAGATGGCGTAGCTCTTGGCCTCACTGGAGGGGGACGCCCTGGGCGTCGTCGTCCATTTGAGATTGTCAGATGACGCCTACCAGACTGCCCGGGACCTCCTCGCCGGAAGATACGCCAACGTCCGGCGAATTGCGGAAGAATACGTTAGGCAGCTTCTTAGCCTCCCACAGCTAAGGAACCGGGCCAGACTACGTCCGGACATCGTAAATCCAGGAGTGGTGGCCTGTAATTCGTTGAGGCGGCTGGATTTACCGGTGGACTATATAGACTACCCCAGGAGGGTACCAGTACACCTGGAGAATCTCTCGCTGAGCATCCACGACCATGTTATTCCGATCCTGAGCGTGGGTGCTCAGGCTACCTTGCGTATTCTGGGGGGGGGGGCAAATTCCGCTCAAAAACATAACTGCTCGGGGAAAACTGAGCAAGAACACCAAGGCGACCCCTGCCACGCTATCCGTGAATTTCTGCAACATCAGGGGACTTCACTCTAACCTAAGCGCCGTCCACTACCATCTCGGGACGGCGAAGCCGGCCTTGCTCTTTCTGACCGAGACGCAGGTTTTCTCTCCGGCTGATATTTCGTATCTCACCTACCCGGGGTACAAATTGGAGAATTCCTTTGTTCCTCGGGCTGGACTTTGCGTGTATGTTCAGAGAGGACATCTGTTCTCGACGCCTCGGCAGTCTTGATGGTTCGGACATATCAATCCTTTGGCTACGCGTAGACAGCGTCGAGGATGACTCACTGGCCCAAGACGCAAAAGACAAAGCCGAACTTTTAGGCTCCCTTTTTGCGTCAAACTCGACTCTTGATGACGGGGGAAAACACCGTCGACCATCCCGCGGTGTGAGTGCTCCATGCCGGATGTGCTGTTCTCACAGCGCTCGGTTCGCAAAGCACTGCTCTCCCTGGACATCCAGAAGTCGAGTGGGCCTGACGGAATCCCCCCAATTGTGCTGAGGACGTGTGCTCCGGAGTTTGCACCGGTCCTAACGCATCTTTTCGATCGTCGGGTCGATCTTCTGGTCTACCTGACCCATAGATGGGCGGATGCAGTAGAGTCCAAGGGGGAGGCGTTGGCCTTTAGTCTGGACATTGCGAAGGCCTTCGATCGGGTTTGGCACAAAGCGCTTCTTTCGAAGCTCCCTTCCTATGGGTTTCCCGAGAAATTTTGCAATTGGATCACCAGCTTCCTTGCAGATTGGTGCATCAAGGTTGTTGTAGACGGTGCATGCTCTGACTACAAGCCTATTAATGCTGGTGTTCCACAAGGCTGTGTGCTATCACCAACGCTGTTTCTTCTGCATATCAATGATATGTTGCTAACTGGCAACATTCATTGCTATGCGGATGACAGCACTGGTGATGCTCTATACACCGGCCGTGCCAATATTTGTCGGGAAAACGTCGCCGAGTACCGGAATAAACTTGTGTCTGAAGTCGAGTCTTTGCTGAACAAAGTCTCGGATTGGGGGCGACTAAATCTAGTCCAGTTTAATCCTCAGAAGACACAAGTTTGCGCGTTTACCGCTAAAAAGAACCCCTTTGTCGTATCTCCTCAGTTTCAAGGCACTCCCCTTCTTGCCTCATCCAGTATCGGTATCCTCGGAGTCGACATATCAAGTGACGTGCAGTTTCGTAGTCACTTGGAAGAGAAGGCCAAATTGGCCTCTAAAAAGCTTGGCGTGCTCAGCAGAGCGGGACAGTATTTCATGCCGGCACACCGCCTGCAACTTTACAAGGCGCAGGTTCGGCCTCGCATGGAATACTGTTCCCATCTCTGGGCAGGGGCTCCCCAGTGGCATCTCCTTCCACTTGACCGCATCCAACGCAGAGCGGCTCGAATCGTCGACGACCGAGCCCTTTCCGATCGGGTCGATTCATTGACACTGCGAAGAGATGTTGCATCCCTTTGCATTTTCTTTCGCATCTACCATGGGGAGTGCTCTGAAAAATTGTTCGGATTAATCCCAGCCGCCAAATTTCACGAACGCACATCGTGGCAGAACTCCCGATACCATCCACACCATCTGGATGACTGGCGGTCCACCACTGTGCGACTTAGAAGATGTTTTCTTCCTCGCACGACTTCCTTGTGGAATCGATTACTCTCAGCGATTTTTCCGGACCGATTCGACTTAAGGACCTTCAAGAAAAGAGCGTACTCCTTTTTAAAAGGCCGGCAACGCATCTGCAGTTCCCTCACTGGTGTTGCAGTTGTTCATGGGCGGCGGTAGTTACTTACCATCAGGTGAGCCGCATGCTCGTATGCCCCCTCTCCTATTAAAAAAAAATTGCGTACACTATCCCCGTCACTACGAATACCAGCACCACTACTCCCAATACCACTACACTAGGAAAGACACACCACTGATGACAATACGACACGTGTTTCGCCTTTATTCGAGGCATCCTCAGGTGATATAAACTGTACGGTGGCTAATCGCTAAGTGCGTGGCGAGCCAAAACAACTGCCTTTTATACAGACCGCTGACTTAATCACTCCCTACTTAAGGAGCGAGCGACTACGTCATGCGATAAAACATGCGACCAATCACCGCCGGACTTACGCAGCCGTTTGTAAAATTAAAACAAAAAAGTTCCAATCATGCAACCAATCTCCGACCACCGTGAGGGTGACAAACGATCATATTGCGAGGCTGTCTTCTATTAGAGAGCAGGCTTAAAGATATTTAGGGGAGGTGAGTTAGAAACATTTGTTTGTTCATTCAGCAGTGCAACTTTTTAATCTATCTAACTGTTCTAGCACACACAGTCGCATCCCTACGTACAGGGCGGATCGGCGATTGGTTGTGTGGAGGGTAGGCGGGAGTTGCGCGGCGGTTTGTATTTTTTTTTCATTTTCGTTTTTAATTTTACAATCGGCTGCGTAAGTCCGGCGGTGATTGGTCGCATGTTTTATCGCATGACGCAGTCGCTCGATCCTTAAGCAGGGAGCGGTTGCGTCAGCCGTCTGTATAAAAGGCAGTTGTTTTGGCTCGCCGCTCACTTAGCGGTTAGCCACCGTAGAGTCTATATCACCTGAGGATGCCTCGTGTAGAAGCGAAACACGTGTCGTATTGTCGTCAGTGGTGTGTCTTTCCTAGTTTAGTGGTGCTGAGATTAGTGGTGACGGCGATAGTACACGCAATTGAGGGATCGGTGCCTTATGTCATTAAATTGTGCTAAGACTAATTTATCTACCACAGCGGTGGTCATACGATCGGTGATTTCATCAACAACGAGCGGTGAAATATTGAAGTTAATATTAGAGTTGAAACGTGAGAAAATTTTAATATTGATAGATTTTGATTTAACGATTTTTTCTTCGCCACCGAATGCGTTTACTACAATACATTCGGTATCGTGTTGTTAGACGCCTAAACGATGACAACATTCCTTAGTTATAAAATGGCTTTAAGACGCCGAGTCTAATAATATGCGAATTAATTGTTTCTCTCCATTAGCGTCGTGTGCAATACTTGAGCGACTTGTGCGATTGATAATAAAACAGTCTTCTGCGAACGACTTGCGCGCGGAGGGGGGGGGGGCGGTGAATGTTGGGAAACATTCGTGAACGAAGTACACAGGAGCGACGTCCGAACGCGCACCCGAGGTGAGAGGTGGCGAGTATGTGGATGCTGTCGGCGCGGGAGCTGCAGCCTTAAGCACAGCTTGCTCAGGCTGAGGCGGAGGCAGCGCAGTGCAAGAATTATCGCTTCCACTCTGGAAGTGCAACAATGTATGATGCTTAAATTTACAAACTCGACAACTAAAGTTTGAAGAGCAATTAGATACTCGATGACTTAAGCTAAGACAATTCACGCATGCATTGTTACTCTTCACGCATTTAAACTGTTCGAGCGGTGTCATTTTATTAAAGTCTGCACACTTAAAGAAGTGCTGGTGCACAATATTATCACACAGGCACTTCTTTGAACGACTAGTTGTACTTACGTATACCTGATACTTCGGCGACAAAATATTATTACAGCGACGATTATTATCATTACCTCGTCGAATATTTAATGGACTACTAGAGTTTGTACTAGAATCGGTGCATTGCAGAACTTTGGATCGGGTTTTAATAAAGTTTACTAAATCATCAAAGGTAGGTATTATCCAGCTATGATTGTATTCGAAAGATCGTGTTCCGATGAATTAGCGACTAAATTTAACACTATTTGAAGGTATGAATCTGTAATAAAGAACTGACTATACTTAAAAAAACAACAATATTATGATACAGAAAAACCGCTTTGTATAGCGCGAGTTAAGTATCAATTAGCGCCATCTGTTCATAGAAGGTAAAATCTCGCCGACATCCCGCCCGCCAAGTACTCCGTCCTTCTTCATGGCAACAGGATCAGCTTAGATACAGGACGCTTCAGGGTCGATCTTCTGCACTTCAAGCTTACTACCCTGACTTGATCATCGGGTCCAGGATGAAGCTGTGTTATTTGTCCCAAGGAGGTCTGTTTCGCCGACCTTTGGTGCATCGACCTTTGTGTGCCATTTATGTTTTTGTTGTAAGGTATTCAAATATTCTTTGGACCATCTAGTCCAAAAGATTCTTATCATGCGTTGTGTCAGTTTCCAACGTTGGAGAGGACTTATGGTATCAGTAATATTGTTAGGTTCTGGTATCACTCTTTCATGTGCATCTCTAATCAACAAATATCCCAGGTGAGTATTTTTTGGAATAATTATTGGGTGTTTATAACCTTGTGATATATTAGCTGATTGTAATCTGCCACCAACTCGTAACAAGCCCTTGTCATCAACGTATGGTGTGAGTGTGATTAATTTACTACTTCTTTTAACTTTTCCCTTTGTTTTCAGGTCTTCAAGTTCTTCAGCAAATTCGATATTTTGAGTAGTTTTAATACATGCGTCGAGAGTTGTCTTCATTTCTTCCGCGGTAAGGTAAGTAGACATTTTATTTCTATTTTCTTTATTTTCTTTTAGGTTTAGGAATCGTCTGCAATAGGTAAGTTAGTGCTCGTAACATTTTCTTAAACTTGAGAATCTATTTAGTATTGATTCTTCTGTATTGTTGTGAAATACTTTTGTGTGTTGTTTTCTTTCTTCTAATGTTGTTTCGGGTACCTGTATTTTGTTAGTATGTATGTTAAGGTTCCTCATCCAATGAGGTCCGTTCCACCACAGTTCAGCGGCTTGCAGTTCTGAGGGTTCTATTCCACGAGAAGCAATATCTGCTGGGTTCTCTGCTGAAGCTACATGATTCCATCTATCATTATCCAGTCTGGTTTGTATTTCTGTTATCCGGTTAGCTACAAATGTTTGCCATCTTATAGGTTGTGATTGAATCCAAGCTAAAACAATTGTTGAATCGGTGTAGGCGTATATTTGATTTCTAGGTATTTTCAATTTCTTTGATGTTTCAGCCAGTAATTTTGCCAATAAAACGGCGGCACATAGTTCTAATCGCGCTATGGAGATTTGTTTTAATGGAGCAACTTTTGTTTTACTTTCCAGAATAGTGACATAGACTTCATCTCCTTGTATTACTCTTATGTAGAGTACTGCAGCGTATGCTGCTTTTGATGCATCTGCGAAGCCAAATAATTCAATCTTGTAATTTTCAGGGTGAGTATGTATCCATCTATTTATTTTTAAATTTTGCAATGTAAGTAGTTGTTGTCTAAAAATCAACCATTCCTGCAGAAGCTCTGATGGTATTTCTTCATCCCAGTCAGAACTACATAGCCAAAGTTTCTGTATTATCATCTTTGCTTTGATAATAACTGGAGCCAGCCATCCAAAGGGATCAAATAAACGAGCCACGTCTGATATTACTCTCCTTTTCGTGATTGGTTTGATAGGTTCAGGCAAGTTGACAGATATTTTGAATTGGTCATCATTTCTATCCCATGCTACTCCTAATATTTTTATGATTTTGTCTAATTTTATCTCGAATGAGTATGTTTTCCTTGTTTTGCTGTATTATTTGTAACAAATTTTCTGAATTACTAGACCATTTCTGCAGTATGAAACCAGCGCTTTCTAATAGCTTGTGGACTTGTTCATAGATTTCTATAGTCTGTTTTTCAGTGTTAGCACCTGTCATTAGATCATCCATATAAAATGACGTCTTAACAATTTCTGCAGCTTCAGGATATTTGTCACTTTCATCATCAGCTACCTTAACTAAAGTTCTAACCACCAGGTAGAACGCAGCGCATGCAGTTCCAAATGTAACAGTTAGCAATCTATAGATTCTACAGTTTTCATTAGGGTTGTCTCTCCATACAATACATTGGTAGTATGTATCTTTCTCCTGCACTAAAATTTGTCTGTACATTTTTGTTATATCACTTATTAATGCTATTTTATGCTGTCGCCATTTAGTTATCAAAGTTTGTAAATCATCTTGTATTACAGGTCCAGTTAGCAGTGTATCGTTTAGTGATTGTCCCTTGGAACCTTTTGCGGAGGCGTCAAATACCACTCTTAATTTTGTGGTATCTTTATCTTCCCGGATTACAGCATGGTGAGGTGGGAATATACGATTTGAATCGTCTTCATTAGTCAAAGCCATGTGTTCTAATTCTTTGTATTCTTTTATTACTTTAGTGTGTTCTTCTTTCACTTTTGGGTTCTGTTCTAATTTTCTTTCTAATTGTAAAAATCTTGAAATAGCAATTTCTTTTGTATTTCCATATTTGTCTACAGGTGTCTCTATGTTTTCTTTAAAAGGTAACTTTACGTTATATCTCCCTGATTCTGTTCGTACTGTGGTTTTGTTGTAGATGTCTTCGCATCGTTGCTCGTCTTTACTCAACCTTCTCTCACAGGTAAGTACTTCATTTTTTACTTCCCAGAATTTTCTTAAAAGATCATTCTCACATACACATACATACATGCTAATAACTTTGTTTTGTTTTACAGGTTGTGTGTTGCTAGTATCACCAGAAAGAATCCAGCCCAGTTGTGTTTTCTGTGCAATAATACCAGACGGACTCTTGATTAATCCAACTTCTATGATTTTATCATAGACTTCAGCGCCTAACAGCAGATGAACCTGTTCTGGTGTATTATACTTCGGATCTGCCTGATCCATGTGCTCTAGCTCAGGCCAGTTAGAAATTGTAATTGATTGTTGTAGTAAATATGTTGTGATTGATTTCAAAATGTAAGCTTTTACCGGAATAGTGAAGGTTATGTTATGTCTTGACTGCAATTGTACTTCAACCATGTATTTAGTGTGAAGCTGTTTGCCTTCACTCAATCCTGAAACCACGCCGTTGATTCTTATCTTTTTCAAACCCAATGTCTGAACGTTATCTTCGGTGACGAACGAGGCTTGTGAACCTTGGTCAATGAGAGCATGATAGACGTGTTTTTGACCCTGACGCGAATTCACATCTACCAATGCAGGGGCTAATAGTATTTGACCAGGTTGATGTACGAAATGTGATACTATGTTTTGACTTGAGTCTTTATGACAATTTTCCCTTACAGATTCATCCCTTTTCTCCGGGTTTAGCAACGAGTGGTGTTTCTTATGGCAAATTCAGCACGATGTCATCCTCATATATTTATTAGGTGAATGGTTTGGTATCAAACAATTAAAACATAAATTATTCTCTTGAACGAAACGGTGTCTCTCTATGAATTGTAGTTTGGCAAATTGTTTACACTGATAGATGTAGTTGTTTTCTATGCAGAATGCACAAGAGATATTTGTAGATTCTATTAAGGTGTGAATGGTTTTGGTTTTCGTTCGTTTAGTGGTGTGTTCAATCATTTCTAAAGACCGGAATCTAGTTTCTAGAAATTCTTTTAAAGTGTCAAAAGAAGGAAACTCATCTTTTTCTGAAGCAATGTGCTGTTCCCACAAACGATGGCTTTCTGTATCTAATTTAGAAACTGTTATATAAATCATGATCGCATCCCAAGACTTAATTGGCAACCCTAGATTCCTCAATGAGCTTAAACATTCAACAGTTGTATCAAGCAGGTATTTAATCTAATAAGCCGACTGTGTTGTTATATTTTTGATATTAAATGGTTTTTGAAAATGCTGTTTGAAATATATCTTTTATTGTTGTATCTATTTTTCAGTATTTCTCACGCTTCCTTATAATTTTGACTTGTAACTGTTATTGTACGTAGCAGCTGTTCCGCTTCACCAGACAAACTTGATTCTAAATAGTGGAGATTCTGAACGTGATCTATTGATTGATTAGTATGTATGATGGAATTGAATTAATCATGAAACGATGGCCACACTGTGTATTTTCCAGAGAATTGTGGTATGTTAATTGTCGGCAACTTTAACTCGGGCATTGTTTTTTTGTTTTCAGGTAAGGCGATAGTAGGCGTAACGGGTGACAATTCAGACATTTTTGTTTTTAAATCACTTTTCTAATTGATGTAAATCTCCTCACAGGTCTCATATAAATCATCGTTAAAATAGCTTAAGGCACTTCTTGATTCTTTAGGTGTACCTTGCACAAGGTATTCATGAGTAGCTTTGAATGAATTCCATTTCAACTCCAATATTTCTAAACGCGTCTGCAAGTATGCTAAATTACTCCTGGACTTTGGAGATTTCCCGTAGTTTATTAGTGCTTTTCTAATTTCGTCTAGTCTTTAATTTTGTAGGTTTAACGATTTATTTATTTGTTCCATTTTAAGGTTATGAAAATATTTTGATATAACTTTTGATCAAAGTTCAACTAAAGTTCCTTTCACTGGTGTTTATTTAAAGTACAGATGTTTTATTTAGAGTTAAAATCAATGTTCATACAAAATGAGTCGAATTTTTTCTAAGTGTTTTTGTTTTCACACGCAATGCCAATGTTCATACGATTTCACTCCGAAATTATTCTGTATTTTACACTCGCGAAATATTTTACAAGTCCCTGCCACTATTATATTACTCACGGTTATCGAGGTCCAATCCACAACACTGAAATCAGTAAGTTTGTCACTACACAGCACTTCACGTGTATACCGCATTGTCCTATTTCCGTTAACACTTCCTACTATGCACTCACTTATCCGACTCGTAGGACCACTTTGTTCCGATGAATAAGCGACTAAATTAAACACTATTTGAAGGTATGAATCTGTAATAAAGAACTGACTATACTTAAAAAAACAACAATATTATGACACAGAAAAACCGCTTTGTATATCGCGAGTTAAGTAACAATTAGCGCCATCTGTTCATAGAAGGTAAAATCTCGCCGACAGATCAAATGGTATCTGAATCGAGCTTCTTTAGTGCAATATGCAGAACAATTAAGTCCGCGAGATTATCCAACTTTAAGTTTTATAAAGCGCGCCCTGCACTTATAAAGTTATCAGTAAATAAATCAAAGTTATTTGCTGTGGACGATTGCAATGGCTTAACTCGAATATCTGATTTATATTTGCGGAGGCTAGCATACGCTTGTCTTCGTATTTATCAATGTGTGCTTGCAATAAAGTTTTATAATTTTCAGCGCATGGAGTTATACCTGAGTACACAGACACAGTCTTGCCCGTCAGTTTACCTAGCAGATAGTATAACCTTTCAGCGTCAGTGAGTAATGGGTTGTCATGGACGATTGATTTAAAGCTGGCATAAAATAAAAACCATGAGCGAATGTCAACCGAAAATGACATAAGTTCGATAGGCATTAGTGTAAGCCTAGCCTTAGATGGGGCACTAGTATTTTGTAAATTAGTAGACTGCGAATATTGTAAATAAAGCCGATATATTCTACCGTAAAGAGACTCAAACGTAATAAGGCTGTTATAGTCAGGCTTAGCGATAGGGTTTATTTTTAATAGATGTGAACTATAGTTATATACGGTCTGTTTAAATTCAATACGTAATTCATGAATATTAGAACTCTCGTTGAGAAAACGTTCCATAATAGAAGCATTCGTATTGA